CCAAAAGAAAGCAGCAAAGGCAAATGCACTCTGACCTTCTCTGGAATAGAATTCCCCCTGCAGGATGTGGCAGAATTTTGGAGCTGAAATGAAGTTTCAGTTCCATATCWGCCAACTCATTCCCTTGCTGAAACTGTCATCCTGGTTACTATCATAGGTGAAATTCCAGTGCATTTAAAATATTCCTGCAGTGATCCTCCCTCCACCTAATTCCATGTGTAAGGGTGGAAGAGGTGCAGAAAATTCTTTTTTTCCTTTAGTAGTTATAGAACAGCATAGTTAAATTAGTGTGTCCTTTTAAATTTCTGATTGTGTTTGTAGATTGTTTACATTCTACATTATTCTTTTATGTGCAAACACAAAGTTAATTTCAATTATTTCAAAGTTAATAATCTTTTTTTTTATCTTTGAACACATTAATGGGGTATTTAAGTTGCTGCCTTCTGGTACAGTAAAGAAAAATGTGAAGTTAGAGCTTTTTCTCTCAGATGTAAAGATATTTGTAGATCAACAGTTTGTCTCTATGAAGAGTCAAGAAATTGCCACCTGCAATTGAATACTGATGTGGTTCTGCTGGAATTGCAATTGATAGATGCTTGCTTTCAAATCTGATTATTTGTTCTCTTCTGGRAAAAAAAAAAAAAAMAAMMCAACTTTTTTGGACAGTTTGGCCTCATTTTTCCTTAGAAATGAGCTCAGAATCAGAACAGCTTTTAATGCCTATCTTGCTGAAAACTGTATTATTAGAGGGTTCTACTGTAATTATTGCCTAAGGTTGGGATTTGACTTAATGCCTTGCAGGAGGAAGACCTAAATTTAATAATCTCAGAAAGGAAGAATTTTTTATTTTTTGTCCCARCTATTTGGAAAATACCAACTCTTGGAGTCAGGGAGAGGAAGCAGAATCCAAACAGTTTCATTCAGCTGTGAAGAATTTCCTGCAGCCTTTGATCAATTTTTTGGCTTCTAAATTTTGTTATCCGTGGCTATTACATAACCACTGAGATCTAATACTAATATCAGCTTTTTTTCTCCACTTCAGTTGCCTGAGGTTTATTGTGAGACCTTAGGCATTAATTTAAAGCTGRTATTGGAACACCTACTCAATTTTATCACTGAAAATAAAGCAGTTACAAAGGGGAAAAAAAATCTTTGTCTTGTGGTCAGTATTTAGTGACCAGAAAAGAAAAACACMAACTAAATATAATTAATTATGATGTCCACATTTACATGATTTACAGTCTGTGGCAAGGCCTTTCTTCATGGAGCTCTTCAGTGAGAGAGAATTGTTTTCCTTTAGWAGTGGTGCCTCTCTTCCTTCTCAGCCTTTTCTCTCCTGTGATGACTCATTCTAGTTCAGCACAAAACAAATTTGTTATCCTTTTTTTTTGTCATCCACCTCCTGAACCCGTTGTTCTTGTGAACCACTAAAAGCCTTCAAGATTTCCAAGTTTCAATGTCAAAGCAAGCACTTGTAAAAGAAATTGAAGGAGTAGTTTCTAGGAAGTCAATTTGAGATGCTTTGAGGGACAGCTTTCTAACAGCTCCCTGTTTTCTTTCAGCTTCTCAAAACTGAGGCTTTCTAAAGCAGGTCGTGTCACATTCCCAGAATTATTGATTGSTTTTTAAAACTCTGATCATTTTTCTGGGAATAATATTTGGTTGATTAATCTGCATCCAGTCTATTGAGTCTGTGCCCTGAACTAGGTGGGTGTTGGCAGATACAGAAAATTAACGAACAGAAAATAAATGAACAGAAAACCAGACACATAAACACCTGAAGGAACGAATCAGAGCAGAGTCTTATCAGCCTGGCTGAGGTGCTGCAGGAGGRGAACCTTCTACCACACACAGTCACCACACAGTACAGTTATTTTTATGTGTTTTGGCTTAAAATTCCTCTATGACCATCACTTCCATCAGATCCCACAGTCTCCAGCAGCTTCTCTCTGTAGCTTTGAAAGCTGGGAGGCTGAAGGACTTGCAGTAAGTATTCAATGGATGAGGATTTCCCTTTGTTCTGTCTTTGCTTTGTCACACCCTTAATTTGCCAGGTTTTCATCTTGCTTTTCAACTCCTTCTAAAAAAGGTTTTATGGTAGTGTAGAAACTGGATTTGGTTTGGTTGGGTTTTATTTTCTTTTAATCTGTCTTTAAAAACATTACCATAAAAATGGCTTTGTGGGTTGTGAAGATTGAGGAGACCCTCAGCAAACTCAAAGGTTTGCTGTCACCCTGAAAATGTTTGGAATATCCATGTGTCTTCACTGCATCCATTCCAGTTTCCCAAAGCTCTCCTCACCAATTTTCCTGCAGCTTTCTTGGTTCTCTCTTCATTTTTCATACATCTGGGTTTCAGAGCTGTGGTGCTTCAGTACTGAAAAGAAGACAAAAAAGCAAATTGCAGCAGTTTATTGCTAAATGGGGCTAATAGTTGGCTTTGTAGGATATTTGCTTTGAGCATTCAGTGTGTTCCAGGTAATGCCTTGTTTAAATTACCATTATTTAAGGAATCAGAACSGAGAGAAAATCGCTGCCCAAGAGGGTAACACTGCAATGGATTTAAAATAATTGTCTAGCTACAATATCTACAATTCTTTTAGATTATTCTGTATTAATTGCTTCCAAGGGCCACTTCGGTGGCAAACAGGATGAGGAGAAGGGAAAAGTTAATCAGAATTTATAGGTAATAGKGACACAGATGAGAGAGAGCTCTGTAAGGAATCCAGCAGCCAGATCCACACCTTTCAGAAAACTCAATTTTGGTAAACACCAGGAAAAGCATTCCAGCTTGCTGAAACAAAGGGAAGCTGAATCCATGAACCAAGGCAGTGTGAGAAGATTTATCAGCATGAGATGCAACAAAGTTTCAGCTTCCATTACCATAAGTTATTCAAAACACCCAAACTCTAATTCCATTAGAGATAGCCATTTTGTTTTCTTTCCCTAATTACATTAAAATACTTCCATCTTGTTTGATTTTTTTGAGAAAGKAGRGCAATTTTCCCWGTCCTGAASTTGCYCCACRCTGTGATATAGTGGTGCAAGTYATGCTAATTGTTTACACAGTAAACTAAATATTGTGGGACTAAAATGGAGTTTTAAAATGTTTTTAAAATGGAGTRCAAAGTGCTGTAAGGAACAGGCTTAGCTCAGCTTTTCTGAAAGATTATAGCCTTACTTAAAATATTATCGTTCTTCTGTCATTAGCAGATTGTTATGCTGTTGTTCTTGAATGAGGCTTATGTTTTCAGTACTTTTTTATAATTTTAGGTCATTGCAACCATCCCAACAAGTAGGCTAAAGTTTTTAAAGGAGGCAGGGAGGCTCACTGAGAAGGAGGAGGTCCCTGAGGAAGAGCTCAATGAAGATGTTGAAGAAATAGATCATGCAGAGAGAGAGCTCCGACGTGGACAAATCCTGTGGTTCCGAGGGCTCAACAGAATCCAAACCCAGGTATGATAAAAATGAATGCCCACAAGGTCTAAAAAACCMAAAAAAATGTTTAATATGAGATCAAGGCAAGCTAACGTTAACAGGAAAGCCACGGAGTATTTGTGTGTGTGGAGGATGGCACTGGTAATTGACTGTTCTCAATGGAAAAACATGAAAATCAAACTGGGTGAACTGAGCAAAGGGGCTGTGTGCAGCAGAAGAGATAAACTGAAACGATTTTAACATGATAAGATGCAAAAAGAGGAATCTGTGATTTGAGAATACTGTGACTGGATGTTCTTTTTCTCCTTGAGTGATGACAGCTCATAAAATTGTGCTGCTTGGCCAACGTCAGCTCACAGAATGTTATGAATCTTTCTAAAACGTATTGTTTGATTTGCTCAAAAAATATATTGTTGCTGCCATTGCTGCACTAACGGAATAATTGAAATTGTTGAGTCTGAAGTATGACGTCCAATTTGATTAAAAAAATAAATCTGTTCAGTTCTGGCACTGCCACACATAGATCACAATTAAAAGGGATTGATTTTCTTTCCTATTAGGTAATGAAAAATGCGGTTCTGGATTTGGTTTGAGCAGGAAGGGCCTAAGCAGCCATTAAATACTGAGGTGTAAGCATTGGCTGCTAGGAATGATTCCTTGGAAACATCTATCCCCAACTTGCTAAGCACAGAAATCCACGGCATTTTTTAATACAGCAGCTCTTTGCACTGAATCATGGTGCTAAATATAGTGCAGATGAAGGAGCTGTAAATTTGTCCTGGAGTGCTGATGAACATCACGTGAGATATTTTGCCTTTTGCATTGCACTGAAGTGTTTCACTGCACTCAGGTGTGCTCTGCTTGATCTTTCTAAGATCAAGTGTTCGTGGCAGCTTGCAGCAGAGAACAGATATCACCCWAGCAGATGTGCATGTTTTACATGAGCCTGACAAGAAAAAGAGGTGAATCATTAAAAAAAGATCTTTTTTTCTTGAAAGAATCTTCTCAAGAACATTTTTATCTCAGAAGATTTGGGTATTTTTGTTTTCATTCAGCACAAACAGTGCATTTTACTTTTTCGCATCTACAAATTGATACTTTTATTTTGGGGGGGGAAGATGCAGCCATGCATTTAGAAAAATATGACAGAAAGAAGTCAAATTAGGGCAGTGAGGTCTCTTGGCTGCATCTTCAGAGCATAAAATAAAGAGGGTGGAAACTGCTGGTAGAGAGATGAAGGATTTGGGGAACTCCCAGGGTTCTGTGCTARGTGATTAAATACGGATCTTCAGCTTTGAGCTTGTGTGTGTTGGCTCCATTGAGTCAGGAGCACTCATCACTAGAGAAAATTCAAATTTCAATTGTGACAAACAGGTGCCCAGGTAACGGTGATCTTTAGGGAAYGATGATCTCTAAATGTGCATTCTTTTCTCCCTGGTGGCTGTAGGAGCAGTGGTGCCTGTTGGCATTTCTGTCAGGATGTCTTTCTGGTTGGGGTGAGTGCAAACAACTACAAGCACAAAAAAAGCGAATTACATTCTTTAAGTTCTTTCTCTAGTCTGAGAGGTAGCTTTTAGTTCTGCATCTCTTTGTCCACTTAATTCACAGAGAAATGATTCTTTTATACCCCATAAACCCAAATGAACATTGATTATATCTCTTTGCTAACATCCATCTTAGTCTCYTTTCTGCTCTTAGCTGTAGAAGCCTCTCTGGTAGGATGTCTCCCTTCTCTCTACCAAGAGGCCTCTGTGATTTTTCTTCTCATTTTGTTGACTTGGTGACTTTGATTTTTTTTGCATCCGTTTCACATCTGTGGAATTATAATGAAAAAAAAAAAAAGAAAAAAAAGAGAAAATGGGCCAGCAGATTCAAAAGTAATGCCCAGGTGTGCAGTGGAGAGAGATGAACTCAGGGCAGATGTGCTCCCTGCTGGAGGGCCCCTGAGCTCTGCACTATTCCCTTGTGCCACATTTCTCAGGAGCCAGCTAAAAGAGAGCTGCTGGAAGAAGATTGGGGTGTCTGTAGCATCCTTGGGAGGATTTGCAGGAATTCTTTTCTGCCTGATGCACTCCTGGAGAGGCAGAAGAAGAAGGTGGAGTGTGTCCTCATTTTCTATTGCTCTGAGGATGGCAGACTGGAATAAATTCTGGGCTCACCATCAGACTGATCATTCAATCCAAACAAAACCAGTTTCCCACTTTTTACTGTAAATTGGCCTATTTTCCCTCATTTTCTCTTCAGTCACCATGGGAGAGAAGGCCAGAGCTCCCAGCAGAAGCCTTCACTTSTGAGACAAAGAGCCTGCACTAGGCTGGGCTTTGTTTTCAGATAACCAACASATCTCCCTCGCAGTGCTCCAGTTCAAAACCATCCACACTGACCAAACTTTGCCCTGCTAAAGGCATTTTTTACCCTACATCCCCTCTCAAACAAAGGTTCAACCCAAGACACCAGAGAAGGGATTTCCACTCATTTTTCTGTTTCTGTGAAGACATGCATAAATTCACTTGAAAGAAAGGTGCATGAAAAATGCCCATAGCTAAACCAGAGAATGGCTGTCGATTTCTGATGGGGCTTTTTCTCCTTTTGTTCATTTTGATATTTTGTTGTCTAATAAATACACAATAGGGAATCTTTGGCTGGATGTGTGCTCTCCTCTGAATGAAATGTTCCTTACTGGAATGCTCTCTCAGGTCACCACTGAGGTGTGAAGCTTCACAAAYGACTCATCTTAGTTATGCAAGTTTGGGGAGGATCTAAAAGTGGCCAAGAAATTGCATAAAGRCAGGACTTTGCAACCTGTGCTAGTTTTCAGCAGGTTTTTCCCAGTCTTTGTTGCAGTCCTCATCAGTTCTTTATCATGAAGGAAGACAGGACTGATCACACCCTCTTGGCAGGTCTAACAGCTTTTGGGAAGTTCATCGAGTTCACGTTCAGGCAAAGCTGCATAATATCAGTAAAAAACAGAAAAAAATATACATCTTACCTCTTTTATTTGTAAATTGAAAGTTTCTCTGACTGTCTCACATTTGAGAATGGAAACATTCTGAAGTGTGGAGATTCAAAAACTTTTCATGTTTGTCAGAATTTATACCCCCAGTCTAATTCTTTCCTCTTCTGCTTCATTCATCCTGAAATTCAGTTTTCTTTACCTGCATCATGTGGGAAACAGTTGCCTGAAATGTTCTGAGAATAAATGGAAAAAAAGCTGAAATAAATACAGGTGACAGAGTAGCTGCTACTTAAAGGTTCTTCCTCTTCAGATGCTACAAACCACCCAAAGGTGCTCRACTGCATTTTTCACCCTTTATTTTTCACGTAGAAAACATGAAAACTTTTCTCTTGAACCAGTCCAAGCCTTCCAGAGTGAAAGCCACTCCTGGCAAGGGGTTCTGAAGTTGGATAAAAAGCCAACACCTATTTTGTGGGTTCCATGCAGCTTTTAATAGAGAAACTATCGTGGTAGCCTGGTGTAAGTGGAATGAAAATGGTTTTATTTCATACAAAAAGGTGGCTTTTATGGTTTTGTTTTTATTTATAATTGATAACCTGGTTGGAGCCTAGGAGGATAAGACCTGGTTCCCATTAACATCAATAACAACAGAAATGCTTCTGAAAATCTGTTTTTTGTTAAAAATCAGGAAAAAAATATCTGTTCTGTGAGGACTATTCTGCTACTATATATTTTTTGACTGCTAATCACTGATATTTTTATTACCTGTACAAACCTAAAAAAAGTGGATGTTTCGAAGTATAGAACATAGAGAAAAATGAGACAGGTGTGGAAAATATCCACCTTATGGATAAGCTTCAAATGTAGGACAGTATTTATTCTTTACCTAAAGGCCTCTAATCAAAACACAATTTCATCCTTATTTGTGTTGGAAATTTTTTAAGCTTATGAATTTTCCTTTCYTTTTTCCTTTTTAGCAGCTTGATTWGTTCTAAATAAATGCATTCCTTTGTCATTAAAATGTTACATCTTAATGCAAAATGCACCATTTATTTCCATGAACTCTTTTCTTCTTTGTTATTTTCTGCTTTGAGAAGATAAACTTTTGGGCCAAGTTCTTCTYTTCTTTCTTGGCTTCAGGCAGAGCACAGCCCTGTGTGTTCAGCTTTTAGGATTCTGAGGAGGTTGTCATCCTCCCACCATGAATTATATCCATGAAGAGCTGGAGTTCCTTTCTTCAGGGGAAAAGCAAATTACATGCCTGTAATTCTTATTCTCTGAAGAAACCTTTAAATACAGATCTTCCCTTATCTTTTCACTCTTACACCAAGGGCTCTCAGTTTATTAGGAAGGCATTTGCACATCCAGAAATGCCCTTTTATCCATTTCATGCCCTCAGTGAGAGTATTCAAAGCCTTTTTTGAATGGTCTCTTTTGAAGAGTGCTCTGTCAGCTGGCTCAGACCCCGAAACCCCAAGATCTGTATTTAATTCTGGTTTTGTAGAGCATTCCAGGTGAGTATTTAATTATMCACATGAGCAGTGGTTTGAGCCATGTGGTTTCCATGAACTTTAGCTAATGATCCCCTTGTGCCCCTCTTCCATGTGCTAACTCACCTCATGTGTCCTTTGGTTTCCTGTGGGATTTGCATTGGACATGTAAGTCTGCTGCCAAAACCAAAGCTCCACAAGGCTGTGGTGACTGCTGAACACTGTCCAAGCCCGAGTGTGTGCTCTGAAATGGAAACAGGGCTCAGCCAGAACAAACCAGCTGGTTGGGCTTTGTGGAGGGAAATTCACTGTGACAATTGCACAGCAGTAACCTAGGATCCCTATTCCAGCTGGCTGTGGTTGGTTATTCCCATAAAAACATGCAGGAAAAGAAACAATGATGGCCAAAGAGAAGATTAGAGGAGAGAAAACATCCATATTATTAAAGATRCAGCCCTACAAATTGGTTTATTCCTAAGATTGACCACAGCAGAAAATGCTAAATTCATTCTAGTGCTTCCCACTTGRAAAATTTAAGAAGGTTTGCACCAAGATTTGTGCTGTTTAAATTGATAAAAATACCACCAATTTACCACTTTCTAGGCTGCGTATCTTCAGCGATCTGGGTTGCACGATCTGGTAACAGTGGGTTACTTCAAACAAGTAGTTGGTGAATTCCTCCCTGGATATTCCTGCTCTTTGTTGTTGTGGTTGTACTGATACAACAGARAGGACATTTTGGGGTGTAGGCATTCGTGGGATTTACTCGTGCCAATCCCTGGCTTTCCCTCTGTACCCAGAGCCTGCTTTTCATGAGGTTCTACGTGCCAAAGGATGCCTTGCAATACTCATCCTCTGTGGTGAGGAATAAAAACTCTCAGGGAGGTGCTCAGGAGGATCTGTCAAACAGGGAATGCAGCAGGCATTCCTGTGTGAAAATAAATAGAAAATTATAATGTTATTTGCTGCAATAGTCAATGCAGTTCCACATTGTTTTCTGGGTGATTTTAAATGCTCTGTATAAAGATAAAACAATACTATTTTTAAACCTCTAGTTATAAATCCCTAACATTCTTTACCACTATGCTAAATTTATATAAACTTACATTACAGAAAAAAGTCAGCTCAAATATTGGAAGAGTTATTTTATCAAACTAGTGTACTGACAACCCTGAGTTTGTAGCAAAATGGAGTCATATTTTGAATATTCAAGTTTTCCTGTTTTGGTTGACTGTCATCCCCATCCCCCTCTGCCAAATTCTAATTGAGTGACTGAATTTTTCTCCCCCTGAAGAGAAATAACAATGTAATATTAATCTCAGTAGGAAAAAGAAAAAGAGTGGAGATTAGTTATATCAAGAATTCCAGTTCATTTTTTTTTACCTCTAAATAAAATGGTTTAAATTTTAAAAGACTTTATTTCAAATCTTCTACTTGTTTAAAGTGATGCAGCTCTACCGCCTCCTACGGAGCTGCCTCATTTTATCCAGACAGAAAATTTGAATCCTTTCTAAAAACATTTAAAWGGGGACACTTAAAAACATTGATTCCGACTGAAGTAAAAGCGTGTGCACGGTTGATTTGTTGTTTTTTTCATGATTATTCCTGTCAGTTATGCAACTGTATCCATACTTTAAGCAACTTGTCTCGTTCTTTCCTCCGTTACAGATCGAAGTAGTCAATACTTTCAAGAGTGGCACTTCCTTTCAGGGGGCTCTCAGGAGACAGTCCTCCGTCACAAGCCAGACCCAGGATGTAACCAATATTTCTAGCCCTAGTCACGTATCGTTATCCAATGCTCTTTCCTCTCCTACCAGCACCTCTGCTGCTGCGGCTGGGCGTGAGTGTGAATTCTTACTGCACCCGACCCTCAGAGATGCCAACTTAGCCCGAGTCGCTTGAGACTCAGCTCCTCTGCCCCTCCCCAGGCTCTGCTCCGTTTCTGAGCTCAAAACCCGGGACATGATTACTTTGTGTACACTAGATACTCCCAGGAGTTGCTCCCTCTCTGTCTCTTTGCTAATTCGCTGTTAGAACAGGAATTCATAGGCATTTTTTATCCATTGTGAGGAGATTTTAATTTTATTTGAGGCTTCTCTATCAGGTTTTCTTAGTCTCACTGATATATTTTCTACTGCTTATAAAATATAAACTTTAAATGATGCTATAGCTTATCAGATAACAGATCATTCCATCAGGAAGACTGTGTGTAACACATCCAGGAAAGATGTACAGGAAGGAGCAAGGAAACAGGGAATCTAATTTATGGTGCCAGGCTAAGGGATTGAACTTTACAGGAAAGGTGAAAGACTTATTTCGATTTATGATATCTTATTTAGATTTATTATCTCTATCCTATTTAGATTTATCTCTAACTTATTTAGGTTTAGATTGATTGTATTTGTCTTACTTAGATATAGATTTGTTATCTCTAAATTCACTGACAGGTAAGCATGGAAGCACGAGGGACCCAGACAAGTTAAAGGATAGTRTTGAAACAACAAAATCAATGTGGTAACAAATTTCTTAGAAGAAACRGATTTCTGAATGCTAAAATCCTGACACATCTTGCTTTTAAATGGAAAATATCTACTGGAGAGGTACTGAAATGAATAAGGAAGGACTGCTTCACTCACAGAAAAATTCCAGTTGTTCAGGAAGATAGTTAGAAATTTAATTTTGGTTTTATATTTTTATTTAWTCAGAACTGTAATTAGCTTATTTTTTTAATTACAGCATTAAAAGAATATTTAAATGTATAGAAGTCAGTTTATAAGCATGTCACATACTTCAGAGGATACTTCCTTTCAGAAGTTTTAGTGAGAAGTTGGCCAAACAGAGATGAAGCTGCTCCTGTCTGCCTGGCCAGCAGAGAGAGGGAAGGCAGGCAGAGATAAAGGATAAAATTCCAGAACTCCTGCAGAAAAAAAGGAAGCTTGACCTTTCCATTCTGGTTGAGTGCCAACCCTTTGGTATTTGCACACCAAGCATTCAGACAGGAATTTGATAGCAGCAATTAAAATCTTATCAAACAGTCACAGAATAATCTCTCATGTATTTGTCCATCAGACAGACCTCTAAAGGGGTTTCGCTTTTTTTTTTTTTTTTTTTTTTTTTTTGGTTGATTGATTAGTTGGTTTTTAGAAAGTGTCTTCATGCAAGAGCAGAGCACCAGAAGTTTTGTTGGATTTAAAGGAGGAACTTCATTTTTGTTAAAGCTAGTGAGGTTCCAACTTTGGTAATTGCTTCTTGTAGATTTTTCTATATTTTCTTATTTTTTTTTCCTTGGGAAGTCTGACCTTAGAACTTTCACCCCAACAGCCCCAGCTATTCCAGGCAGCAGCAAGATCAGGAGATGTGAAGTCATGGAGCTGTGCCAGGTTGCTGAGCCCAGGTTCCCTCGTTCCACAMTGAGCAGGGCACAGAACACCAAAATTCCAAACCAGCCTTTCATCGAGGGAATGATTGCCTGGAATAGAGTTCCTACATTTGAGCAGGAGCCAGGAGCAACTGGTTGTGCTGTGGTAAATGTTTCAATAACATGCTGTGGCCAGCACTGAGGGAGGAAAGATCTAATATAATTTAAAGAGATCATTTATCTTCCTTCTCTCCTCTCCACTGCAGCAAAGCACCAAGAATTGAATAGTCTTGAGTCTTGACAAGGGCCTCACTCGTTTATGGGCTGCAGTTAATTAACAGGAGAAAGCAGAAATTGCTCCAGCCTTTGTCCCCTTTCATTTAGAGAAATGAAGGTCTCCAGAGCTCACTGTGGTTACAGCCACGTTTCTTCAGTAAAATAAAAGCCAGATGATTGATTGGTTAAGCTTCCCAGAGATAAAGATCTCCATGGCAGAGGGCAATCACAGATTGGGATTTTAAAGTGGTTTTTCTGGACTGTTGGTGTTTTATTACCACAGCAGAAAGTCTGTTGGTATTAAATCAGAAATTATAACATTTAGGGAGACTTTTAATTTATTCATATAAGGACACAAACTTATGAATGGCAGTGGAAAAAACCCATCAAATAAAACCCCCATGGTTTTATTTTTAAATGGGGTGTTTGCAGTGGGTTGTTCATCTTCCAGAACCTGGGGAAACCTTTCCTAATCTAAATTTTGTAGAAATGGGGWAAGTTTTTATGAGTTGTTATTTTTTGAGGAAATCCCAGTTGCTCAATGCCCACTTAGGTCTGCTTTTAAGCTCTGTATTTAAAATATATGTGGGCACACAGGACTGGCTTTGTTCCTCTGAGCTGTTCAGAGTGGCTCAAACCCCAGATCATTCCCTTCTTCCTGTAGGGTGGAAGGGAATAATGGGATAAATGTACTTCTGATTTTGAAGCCTTCCCCACTCTCCAGGAATGTTAAAAATATAGGTAAATATATTATGGGGAGTATCAAGGGAAAGCCTTTAGAGTACAGGAAAGAAAACAAGGTCTAGTTCTTTTAACTTGMTCAGCCTGTTGCAACAATTGGGACATTTCAGGTGTCATTTTGGGTGCCCAAAACTGAGAGGGTCTGATATAAAAAAAAATGGGAATCACATCATGCTGTATTGATAAGATATGTAGATCTAATTTAACAGACCATTTATGAAGTTCTTTACTAATTGTATTGCTTTTTAATATGTAGTTCATTGTGAAAGCTCACCAATCTGTGAGATTATCTGCAGGTGTATAATAATATTTTGGATTTTTTTTTTAAATGAATTCTTTTTTTTGGGCAAAATAATGTTTGATTCAAAGCTTAGTGCCTGCTTGAAAAGAAATCTGTGTGTCAAATGTAGCCACTCCTAGAGTAATTTGTGAARCAGGATAGCAAGTTCTTACCTGTAWTTAGCAGCCATTCACAAACATGACCCATTCWGAGTTGTGGAATCCCTTAATTAAAAGCAGTTGTACCAGGGAATATTTAATTCAATACTAAAATTTCCCTAGTTGGCCATCACGGTGTTTTTGCCATTAACAAATTACAAGTTTCTGGATGTCACCATTCATTGATAACAGTGAGATCCATGAGTCCCTTATCTCTTTTGRAAGACATTGCAGCTTTAAATAAACAAAGCAAAAATTTCAGATTAAAACCTGTCAGTTTGTATATTCTACTAAAATTAGGAAATTCATTTAAATGCAAATTAAATATGCATACAGTTAAGCTACAGAAGATGAAAATATGTGAGAGTTAAGATTCTCTGGGGTGATCTGAGGTCTTGTCAGACACAGATTCACACAGACAAACTTCTGTCATTTGAAAACTCAACCACTGCAGAACTCAGAGGTGGGTTCAGCTACAAGCTTTGGTGGATTTGTATTTTATGTGCATTTCTTTCTATCTTTTGTCTTGGGGAAGCAAAATCAGAATCTTGAGGCAGTAGAGCAACTGTTTTACATTTGAAGCTCAGAATTTCTAAACGCAAAAATTATATTGTGTTTAAAATGAAATAYGTGATTAAAGCTTTTACTACCAGAGTTTTTAATCAGGTAGAGGGTGAGAATATCTAACTGTACACAAAGTAAACAAATCTTGATCCTCCTCTGTTTATAACTGGTTCTCAGATGTTGTTAATGTTAGCAATAGGTTACCCCTGCAAAAGAACAGTTTTAAATTTTCCAAGAAAGACACACCTTTAATATTCCTTTGTACTTGCACTTCCTCTTATTCTTATATAGAGTTCCTAAGTTCCTACTCTTCCCAAGTGGAAGCAGCCAGAAACTGCAGGTCCCTGACAAAAACCCATCCTTCCTTTCAGAAATATTGTAATTGTTGAGTTTAGGAAGCATTGGGGAAAAAAACCAACAAAACCAAACCCCAACAAAAGGACACCTCCCAGAGTTCCTTTTCCATGGTTCTGTTGAGATCTGTCACTTTTGTGAGAGGTTTTTAGGAGTGAATATTTAATGGAATCACTTGCAACTTTTTAGTGCATTAACTCCAGCAACAGTGGCCTCAAACGAGCCACTTGTGAGACAGAAAAAAAATTGCCAAATTTATAGCAGCAATTAAAATCTTATCAAACAATCAGAATAATCTCAGAGGTATTGGTCCATAATACAGCTCTCTGAAGGTTTTTTACCTTTTATGTCTGGTTGATTGGTTTTTAAGAAGCGTTTTCATGCAAGAGCAGAGCACAGCACCCTTAAGACTGGATTTGTGCTCTGCTTCACTCATTGGAAAGCCCACAGCCTGCATTCAGGGGCTTCATTTGCATGGCAAGACAACCTTTTCCATCCTCCCTGGAATTAAAGAACAGTTGCCATTTCTGAGCTGTGCCAGCAGTTTGCAGGGAGAGGGGCTGCCYGTTCAGATTAGCTGGGGTGGCACGGGGGCAGGAACTGTCATTTGAAGTGTCACCCAGGGCTCTGCTTTGGACTGGCACAAGGCCAYGAGCATCTGCAGTTGTGTCACACCAACGTAAGACACGCAGCCAGCTCAGCTCCCGTGGCTCTCACAGCTGTCACAGAGAGCATTTTAAAGACACTTTCGTTTAACTGTTTGCAATCTCTTGTGTATGGAGAGCTTTTCTATTTCTTACATATTTAATTTTCTAGAAATGAAATAATTCTGAATGTAGAGCTAAAACTTGAAATAAAATCTTAAGTTTGGATGGAAATTTTTCATGAAGAAAAATGGYAACAATTTTCTTTTAAAGAAATAATTTATTTCCATAAATGTTAAAGCAAAGRTTGCTTCCCAGTATTGATCTACATTCAGATCACAGACCAAGCCCAGGGAGCACTTTCTGCCCAACAAGGTACA